GTTCCAAAAAAAAAAAAAAAAAAAAAAAGAACATTGAATGCCAAGAATTACAAAGGCTAGGTGAGTTTTTGTCAACTTGTTTTGATATTTAAAGCATGACACCACACGAATTAATGCTTAATTCTGTAAAACGTGAATTAATTTGTGTTAACCTTGTGATTAAGGTACTAAATAAATCAATGAAGACAGTGAGTAAAATAACTAAAGTGATTAAGGTGAATTAGACCTAGATTTGTCCTCCTAATCCTAAATTAATGTTTTTAAAATTTTAAATTAATAATTCCCTATTTAATAATTCTTCAACTTTATCTCTCTAATTTTTTCAAAGATAATTTTAAGAATAAATTACATTGATATCCATGAACTTATACGAAATTATACTAACATCTTCTGGTTTTTTCAAATTTACAATTACTTCCATTATAGGGTCACAACAATGTAATATTTTTAAAATAATTAAGAAGAGTTAAAGTAATGTATAAGAGATACTAGTGTAATTATTTTCAAATAATTAAAGAAAGTTATTATAGAGGTAGAAAAAGTAGAAAGTATTTTTGTAATTTCACAAAACTTCATTAGTATTGGTGTAATTTACTCTTATTTTAATCCTGTATTTTTTTTAAAAAAAAAATTCTTACTTATTACTAATTACTCTAATTTAAAATATTCACCACAAAAATAATACTCTAGTTTAATATAATTACATCACAACAACTTTTCATTAATAATTTATAGTTAAATTAGCTCATATAGTTTGTTAGACTAATCCTAATTTTGTTTCTCTAAAACTTTGTTTCTTCTATGTTTTCATTCATTTAAAAAAATGATGTCCTTTTTTTATTATTAAAGATCTTTTTCAATTTTCTGAAGTTGGCTAGAGACTAATTTGCAATTATTTAAACTCTAAGAAAACTAGAAAATAGTTGTATTTTTTAAATAAAAAAAATTAAAACTATTTCTTTAATCCTAAATTTTTTTAATGATACAACTTTCTCTAATGAAAATTTTGTCCTCAAATTTCGTTGATATCGTTAATCCTATTAAGGTGTGTTTTCACAAGGTCTAGATAAAAACATCCCAAGAAAGAAACTCGACAAAGAGCTTGGAGAAGCAACAAAACAACAAAACACTCAGCATTCTAAAAGAACTTGAGAGCAGAAACAAATATGAACATTTGAAAGTGAAAAATAGAACAACTTCACGAAAGAATCAAATCTCAATGAACCAAAACTAAAGAGGGAATTTTGCTCTATTTGTAGCATGTGGGACAGAAACAACAAAGAGCTTATGTTGGCCATAAAGGCTTGGTTCTTGGACGATTTGATGTACCTACCATTACCACTAAAGCCACCCGACTTGAATTCAACCATTAGAGCAACTTTGATGGAGCTTAGCTTTTTTCATAAAATCTATTAAGATACAAATTTAAAAGAGATATTGAAAACTTATCTACTAAAAATAAAAATAAAAAAATATTTTTAATAAAAAACTCTTTTAATTTTATATCCAAACAAATTCATAACTAGTAAAACTCTCACTATCATAATCATTGTATCTTGATGTTTGTTAGCTTGTATATGATAGTTATAATATGTTAGAATAATATAACTCTTCAATTGAAAATAATAACGAAGTCAATTCATTCTTAAAATGACATCTTCAAGATACGAATCTCAAATGTTACTATTAAAGTTCACTTTAAAAGTGTGTTTGATACACATTAACTTTAAGTTACATGATAAAGGAGTAATATATAACAAATGTTTAAATTACTAGATAATATATATTGTTTGGTGAATAATGCACAATACAAACAAAATAATATTATATTTATTACAATATCTTTTTTAATATTAATTATTATAATAAATTATTATTATCTTAATGAAAATAATGGTGACAAAAATTATGATAATGATAATAACATTAATAGTAACAGTGGCAACAATAACAATAATTATGAGTGATAGGAACAAGATGATGATAATCAACAACGGTGATAATAGATGACAACAACAATGATATTAGACGATAACAACAACAACAACAACAATAATAATAATAATAATAATAATAATAATAATAAAAGTGGTATTAATACAACACTATGTTAGTGAATATTTTTATACTTGAAACAAAAAGTTATCCCACCTTTTATTAACAAAAAAATTAGACTTTTGTCCTATTTTTTTTATCATGTCCCATAATCTTTTTATAAATCAATCTGAAATAATTATACTTATCAACAAATCAAAAAACCTAAAAGTTTCGGTCTTGAATAGAAAAATAATGAATTTAAACCCTAATTCAAATCCAATTTGATGAAAAATAATCATTCAAATTAATTCGAACCAGCTTAATTAACTCAATTTAAAGTAGAAATCATATTAAGTCATTATGGAATTCAACTGGATGTACATCTTAAAAATATGAAACCACTTATACACACACATCCAAGAAAAGATATAGATTTTTTATGATTGGTAACAACTAACAAGCCACTTATACACACAAAATTAATCTTCAAAATTACAAACGCTGCCAATTAAATCCATTTAAGTACAAAATTTTATTTAGTCTATGAGCCTACCAAACATTAATCATTTAATATTTATTTTTATAATTTTAAAGACTTAACCATCATTTAGTAACATCAATAATGAAATAGCTGTTTGATAATTTCGAGGACTAAAATTGTATTTTTATAATTATAAGGAGTAGGACGTATTGCTCTTTCAATGATGAAACAATCCTCTACAGATTATTGTGTCGCGCAGCTGAAATCTAAGCTGACGAATAATCAAAATATTAATGCAAAGTTTTAGGTCAAACTTTATTGTTCTGACATATAATAAATAAAATCAGAAGAAAATTATGAAATTCAGAGTTCTCTCCTACTACGGGCAAGATCACTCGCAATATCATCATCTTGTTCACACTGATCCAAGAATTTTTTATAAGCAGGTTTGTGAGCAACAACAAGACGTAGGTACTTTGCAGCTTCGGCCTTTTGACCCGAATCAAATAGAGTGCTGTATACCCAACAAATTAAATCCAATCCAATGAACAAAATGAAAATAACAGTGTTAAAAGAGGAAATTTCAACACTAAAATAAGGTAATTGACCTAAATTATACCTGGCAAGCAACAGCAACCCATCAAAATAATAGCCTTTGCTAGTAGGATCTTCTGGCTCCTCCATATTTGCTATTCTTTCAAAGTGTGCCCTTCCTTCGGCCCTCTATCCCTGCCATACATAAAATTATGAAGAAAAATGAGAATCATAGCAAATCCTACTGAAGATCTAGAAGCTTCTAAAATTGGCAGGCATATTGTCTGCCAATAGTTGGGAAATAACACCAAAACAACAATTAAGCCTTTTTTTCTCACAATGTCATATTGGTTACATGGATCAAATGACACCATAACGTTCTAACTTAAATCATGTCTATAGATAAATTATTGGCTTCTAGATCCTACTTAATTGTTTCTTCTGTAGTTTTTATCAGTCTCTCTGCCTCTTGTTACTGGGCTAACCTCCATCTAGTCCACTCTTCTTAGTGTTAGTGGGGCTTCTATAGGTCTTTCCCACACATGTCCAAATCACATAAGGTGAAAGACAAATATACCACCATTTCTACAATAGGTGCTGCCACAACTTTTTCCCTAACGCATTCATTTCTAATGCTACCTCATCTAGCATCTCCACCCTACAATGCAACATTCTCACCGATACGTAGTTTATTCTTTTGTCAACTTTTCATTGCTCAACATTCAGTTCCATGCAATATCACAGTTCTTTTAGTTCCACTCGAGTCAGACAGCAACTGCCTCTAAAACACAACCAACTTCCAAAAATTGTTCTTTAGAAGGAATAGAGGTGCAATTTTCATTCAGTTAACGAGATATTCCCTCCGTCAAATTGTTCTACAAGACACGCATTTGATGCACAAGCTATCCAAATATTCCCTCCGTCAAATGCATATCCAAGCCTTTTTGACAATATATGATATATCCAAAAATATGTTCAGACAAAAGTTTGCTCAGAACAAATTGAAGTATGTGTTTCACCTGTCGCTCGCAGGCAATTCCAGCCCACTGGGATGAAAGAATCAAAAGATCAACTTCTTCCGCATCAGTTGGATGTCCAGCAAGAGAAAGCTAATAAAAAATCAGAAAATAATTAGGGACTGACGGAAGTGAAATGAGACAAGAATTTTCTGGTATAAGCAAAAATGAAAAAGAGCAATGCAAAATATCATAGTTCACAGTCGAATAAATACTTGACATAGTAGTTAAAAACCAGCACAACAAATTAAAAAACGTGAAGGCAGGTATGAATTCGTACATTTGATATTGCACGCTCAAAGTATTCGTTAGCTTCATCATTAACATGCTTCAGCAATAGAACCCGACCCATCAAAACTAAAGCTCGTACATATTCAGGGTCCTTATCAAGGGCTAGTCTGTACATGGAATTCAATGCAAAGCACCATCAACCAGAGATAAAGCTTAAAAATATAACAACGGGTTTTCTTTCCAATTTTTCATCCCACTGCACAAACTAAAAAGGAGAACTTACTTTAGTAAGGGAATGGCACTTTCTTTATCATCACCGTTTAGAAATGGGACAGAAAGCTGTAAACAATCAAACCATTAATTAATCACATTCTTGGAGCCAATCTGAATTTAATGATATATCACACATCATATATTCTCATGTTCCAATTCACTCACAGCAGTCAGTTCTTTAGGGGACATCTCCTCTGTAGGTATTCTATGCCACTTTTCTGGTGAATCCAAAGGATTTTTTTTAGGAGAAACAGTTTCCTTGATAGTTGTTGTTGAACTATTGTCTTGTAACCCTGGCAAAGGAGCTGTTTTAGAAGCATCAATTTCCTTAGAAGCTACCTTTGGACTATTCTTGTCTTGTAACCCCAACTTTGCAAGGACAGCAGGATGTCTAAGGGCTATGTGCTGCAAAGTTTATTGTTTGTTGGGTCAGCTTTAAGAGCTGTAGGACAATAGTGGTTCAAACTAAAATAACCCACAGACATGCAAGGTTTTCTTACTTACCTGAATGAAAGTTAATGAACTATTGGTAATCCAATAGAGCTGGCTCCCCTACAAGAGTATATTAGAGTAAAATATTACTAAAACCTTCATGACAAGAGATGGAATAAGTTTACCATAAAATACAGTTTGAATGAAAAATGGGACATGCAATACAGCAACAATTTACTAATCTTGTTAAAAATTATGAGATTAAATTATAACCAAAAGTTCCCCCTTTTCTTTTAACAGGAAAATTAACCTACTAATGTGAGTCCAGAAACTGTGACCACAACCTGCACCTTTGGTTTCAAAATAGGAGAATGCACCACTAGACTTAAATGTTGCTGAAATTTAACTCTACTCCTATAGTTAAGCTGGTTCAAGTTTCCTTACTAATCAGGCATTCAGATTAACTAGAATAAACGACAATAGTATCAGATGGATTGTAAAGAAATTGTAGCTTATATTCAAAAGTGTAGTCTAGGTTTCTTTGTAAACCATACCTCTAGTGTCTACAGATACTGTTAGGCGGCTACCACTACAACTACTCTAATAGTGAGAGAAAAAAGATGTTATCCAACACTAACATCCTAACAACACAAAACATGTAAGGATTAAAGTTACCTGAGGAATGCAAAAGCCCATGAAAGCTATAGGCACCGTTAGAAAGTCCAAGTATCGCTTATAATACTGCAGCAACAAACGCATTTCTCACTTAATGGTGGAATTACTGTATTCTAATTTGATTAAAAGGATAAATTCCCTTATATCACAACATATAAACAAGATTCTTAAACAATTAGTCATATGAAATTAGCAGATTCATATCACAGAAAATGCACAACTAAAAAATCAAGTATCAACTCCATTTTTGCCCAAGAACAAGCAATACATTAGAAGTACCAAAGAAGTTATACTCACTTTGGCTAATAAGTCAAAAATATCCCTTGTCTCAGCAACCAAAGGTTTCCCAAAAGATATCTGATAAATCAATGAACACAAATTATTAGACATTATATGACTAACTCATCCATGCCCCTTGCAGAATGAAAAAGAGAATTAAGGTACAATTGCATACACTAAACAAAACCCAAACAGAAAGCAAGCAATCCACCCTACCATACATCAAACCATTTGACTATATTTTATAGCAAATGAATATTAGAGACTATTTGGTTTTTAAAATTTATAGCACATGAAATATTAGGGATTATTTGGTTTCTCTTTTCATTTTCTGTTTTCACTTTTAATTACAAAATTGTCACCTTATTTTCATTTTGTTTCTTATTTTCAAAGTTTGAATAGAAAAAGAGTGTATGCAAACATGGTGGAACTTTTGTAATTAATAGTGAAATAGAAAATGAAAACACAACATTATTTAAAACCTTTGTTAACTTATTACACTGTATTTTATGTTACTTTATTCATTTATTGCTAAAAAACTAGCATTAAGCCAAGCAATATAGCTTGTATAACGAATAAAACCTAATACCAAGTTTGATTCATTATCATAGGCAGAATAGCAGAGCCAGTAGGCCAACAATGCATATCAGATTGTGACTGGATTAATCACTCGCCATTAACCAGTTGCTTTTGGATCCATCAATATTACCAGCTATTATGATTTTGGTAATTCTACCTTTATTATAACAGCTGGCCCAAAATATCTTGTTAAACACTTGGCTCAACTACATCCAACCAGACCAACCCTTACCAAGAGGGTTGCTGCCACAACAGAATGATAAATCCAACTCGTTTTTTTAATTGACAGACACTTGGATCCATTTTTCTAATGTACACACTACACAGGCATGAATATGGGGGTAAGACAACAAAAGGTAAGTAGAAATATAATTTTAAGGTTATATCCCTCATGTATATGGATTCAGTATTCTGTTACCTGAACATTGAGGTAATGCAAACCAGCAATCAGAAAAGGAAAGATGAACCCTGAATAACCGTGAGAGAGTTCTGTTAAATTCTGGAACCACAAAGCACCACCCTGCGAGATATTTAACAAGTTTCAATTTTCAGCAACAATGAGTGTCTGTCTGCATATGATTTGTATAACTGTCAACACTCAATACTAATGTTGAAATATTGAGATTTTAGGTATAGAGGAAGAAAGAGAGATTGAAACATTGAATTGATATTAATTGAAATGTATTACAATGTTGATTTGTTCATAAAACCTTGAGTACTACCTTTTCTACACTAACCATAATCTTAACTAATTAGGAAAACAAATCATATTATAACCAATAAATAGGAAAACTAATATTAGAGGAATATCTAGGAAAGGATAATTGATAAGATACTTTCATATATTGTGACAATTTTGATATAGCTTCCGTACAGCAATAAATTTTCCAAATGTTGAAGTACGTGTTTGGGAACCCATTTGCATCATTGCAAACGGGATTTCACACATTCCTATGCAGGAAATGAAGAAGCAACATTTTGTTGCTTGGGCGTTAAACATGAATTTTTTTTCACGTTGAACTGTAAACCAAACATAGCCGAAGTCTATAAGTTAGGTGGCATCTTTACAGCTTATTGTAATTCATTCTAATCCTTCTTATCCAATTTAGTCAGTTCTTTATGTTAGATATATTCTCATTCATGATTTTATTCATTGTAGTTAGACCCAATTCCACTTTATCAAGAATGTAGATTTGGGATTAATTCAACCCTACAAAAAATATAAGGTGAAGATTGTTATCTACTTATATATTATATTTTGACCATATCACTTGTGGGATCTCCAACATATATATATTATGCTAAAAAATATGAAGATACATAAAGCAGAAACACAGTCAAAACAGCATTTTAATAAGTTAGTGCATTACACAATCAAAACCAGGGTGACCATCCAGTGACATCTTCCTTACACTAATCATCCACAAGAAAAAGCATGGAACCTGGAGATAAATAAAAGACCAAAGTTAAAATTATGACCAAACTTTTGTGAAGCAGCACTATGATCATGTTATTCTTTTCTTCCATATTCTTGATGATAAAAAAAATAAATTCTACAACTTTATTTACAGCATCAATGTGCCAAATGACAAATGTTCTGTGCAGTTCTGTTAACAGGAAGGAGGCCAAAATTTAGCAGCAGTGTGAGTTTATGCAATTATTTGGTGCATTTGGCTGGAGCAGAAGACACAATTTTAAGATTGTGTATTCACCATTCAATCTTTTGGATAATATTATGTTTTCATACTCCATTGATGTTCAGCCCACAGTGTTTCCATTTCAGACTTGCAGAAATTGGGCAGCCCTGCTACTACGGTACTACCTTATCTATCAGATGTTCTCTTTCCATCTGTTCCCATCCCCCTTTTGTTCTCTGACCCATTGTATTAGAGTTTCTTTTTTTCCTATTCTCTCAATTAAACCCTAATTGTGTGAAATGAAAATAATTTCCTTTGATAAAAGTCAACTAACAGTTGAAAATGAGGGTTGGCTCAACAAGTATGATCAAAATGCATCAACTAAAAGGTATTGGGCTCCTGGAGGTAGTTTATTGGTAGTTCATCTGTAACCTTCCGCTCAGATTGGGCATGGTTGGACCTTGGAATGGAGCAACTTCCCCTCCACCAAAGCTTTTTTGTACCACAAAATAAAAGCTACCAGTTAAACAATTTGGTTATGAGATTAATTAATATAAAGCACAATTTCTTTTAGATTAAATGAACCTCTTTGACAGAGGTTTCAGCTTCCAAACAGAGCATGGATGCTCCCTCTAATACTTAGGAAGGTGAAGACAAGCTCAAATATAAAGAAAGAACCATGAAACTCTGTTGGAAAGCTTGAATTCAGTTATTCACAAATTTTCTTCAGTTCAAGTAGTGGAGGTAGGTCATAAGCCAATGCAGTCTTTAGAAATTGTAAGCAATTAAGTCTAAACACCATATCACTCCATAACTTTTTTAAAATGACAATGCAGCAACATAAGCTATGTCGTAAGTCAGGAAGGAAGAAATTTTCAATTGAACACTAACACTTTATAAAAATAAAATAAAAAACATTTTTTTCAGGAGTGGCTGCTGTTTCTTCCTTTTGAGATATTAGACATTCTTTAATTAGCAAGCACAATATTTTGACTGACACTAACTGAGGTTTTTCTTTCCTTCATTATTTTTATATCAGATAACCTGGGAATTTCCTTCATCCCCATCACAGCAGCAGCTGTTCTTGGAGGTTGCTTTTGGCTGTGATCTTATTAGTAAATACAATTTGGGGAGAAGAATGCAAATTCATTGCTGAAGGATTCATCAACAATGTTTCCCATGAAGCTAGATATATCACCTGTACAATGTATGGTACCAGTGGCCACGCATAAGAGGGACATCCAATTGCTTTTCTCTTCTTCTGGAAGAATAGAAACTGACGAATATAACTCTTTCCTGAGAAAGGTGGTGGGAATGGAGGAGGCACTTTAAGAATTGAAGGAACCAAACAAATATTAATAACAATTAAAGTAGATGAACTAGAAATGGAAAATGAAAAAAGATTTCTTGTATGGGTTATAAGGTGGTAAGGAAGTATCCACTCCCATTTTCTAATCACAAAAAGGAACAAAATACATGTTAAAGATTAAGAACAGTCTGGTGCACAACAAAATAAAATGATGCCAAAACAAGGAGTCTTGTTGGCATACGTGCACAAAACACAATCTATATGTCCATTACACAACATTTGCACATAATGGTAGCAAAAGCTAGGACGAAAAGTCATTCAATGCAACAGAAGTGAGGAAATAGACAATCAATAACTGCATTGAAAGCTAGATTACAAAGAAAAAGAAAAAAAAAAGAAATTGCATTGGGCTCCTCTAATCTCCTCTGTACCTGGTCTTTGTTGAATGGAGTAGTTTTGTTTTAGTAAGTCGCTTCTGTAATTACTATGATGTTAGATCAAGTTACTTATCAGTGAAATGTTCTGTTTACTGGCTAATCCATCATGTTGTGGGTTAACAATTGGAATTCTAAACACTTGAAATGTTCTGCAAACTTGTTACCATTTCTGAGAAACTGCTGTTATGATTGTTTCTTTTTAATTTATGCATAACAGAAATGTAGCTTTGTAAATGCTATATAATTGCTCTTTTGGTGGTTCTGATAATTTACAAAGAAACATACTGCTGGGACTGAAAAGTACATCCTTAATTGATACATCTATTAAGTTATTTAAGTTTCTTGAACTTAGTTGTGGATAATCAATATCAATGATGATATTAATCACTCATGCCTTTGTGCAGTCTAGCAAATGGCATTCCTTTATATCTTCATTATGGCACTATGGCTACTATGAAGCCAAGAGCACAAATATGGCACTAATGGCCCAACGCATTTTTCAGCAGCAAGAAAAGGTTCAAATAGTAAAAACAAAAAAGTGAGTTTTAACGTGTAAGTTAACTGATGTTATGGAAGGGGTGGTATGTGAAAGCCAAATTATAAAATAAGGAAGGTGGGTGTCAATTAATAAAATAGAAGGGAGGTCAGTGTTATTTTGACAGACCTCAAGGGAGGATATAGCAATCAGCACTAACAAAGTACTAAATACTACCTAATTATAAACACATGTTTGAAGCAACAAACAGCATTATACAAACAATAAATAAATAAATAAAATTAAAAAAGTGACAATAATTAGCTACAGCAGCATAATAACTTGCAAACAAGAAACAAATGAATTAACCTAGCAGAATCAATCTATTTATTCCCTGGTTGGATAATTTTTTCCGTAAACACTTACAGAAGAAGAAAATACGAAGGAAAAATACATTGAGCTTCTTCATAAGTAAAAATCAACTGATGCACCTTAACTTTTGGAGAAGTTAAATGAAAAGAAGTAAAAAGCTTACATAAAAAAGTGCATAAGTTGATTTTAGCTTGTGCAAGAAGTACAATTCATTTTCCTTTCTTATTTTCTTCGGAGAAGTTTATCTAAACAACCCTATAAACTAATTTATTAAATTTTACTTCAGATTAAAATAGAATAACTAGTAAATAGATTACGCATATTAAAGAAAGAGGCTATGAACTAATTTGAGTAAAGCACATGATACTCACATTTAGGAAAGAACTCTCCAATCCTTTTAAGCTTGTGAAGTGTCAGAATCAAAGGACAAAGGATAACAATTCTGAGCGCCAAAGTAGAGGAAACTATAGTAATCCACCTGAAATTCAATTACTGGATTAACACGAACGTTCGTTTCAGAATCGAAAACTGAACAGAGAAACAAATGTTACAGTAGCAATGGCAACATGAAATACGAGACCTAGAAGCTTACCACGGAAATCCAGAAATATCGTGGAGTGATTCGAGCAACCAAATCACCGCGCGAACGGGAAAAACGGCGTCGTCTTCACCGCCGCCACTGCTATCGGTGATTGTTTTCAGAAGCTCCGAGTTAGCCGGCGAGTCGACACCGAACGAGTCCAGCGACGAATCGCGGTCGTGGGAAGAGCGAGTGGAGAAAGCGCGTGAGCGGAACGCGTCGAGAAATGCGAGGGTTGGAGAGTGAGAGTGAGAGTGAGAGTGAGGTAAGGCGGGAGCGGGGAGTGGAGGAGGACGTTGAGAGGTGAGGACGCGTGGCAGATAGAGGAGAGAGGAGGATGGCCGCGCGCGGCGGAGGTGAGAAAAGAGCGCCGCCACGGTCGCCATCGGCGGCGGAAGGAAGCACAGTGCGAGGGCTAAGTGCTAAGGTGTAACTTGGCTTACTGGAAAACTGAGTTCCGACTTCGGAGTCATGCATGCGTTTACACTCCGATTTAATTAATTTTTCTTTTTTACCGTTTTCTAAATTGTATACTATAGTATATAGTAATGTTCTCATGACAATGTTTATTATATCTATATTTATTATTATTTTCTTCTTTTTTAAATTATGTACACTTTCAAAAATTAAAAACAGTTTATACTGTAAAGTAATTTTATAGATCATCATAAATTATCGTATTTTTATTTTTTGAATTATATTAATGATGTGAAATATCTAATGTCTAGAATTTAACAATAGTGTTTTTTTTTCATGCACAAATATAAGACTTTAATCTAAGATCTAACTTAAAGGGATATAATATAGTATCGTTCATATATAATTTAGTTGACAAAAATTTCAGTAGTAATGATGATAATTGTTAGTATTTTGACAAATGTATTAAAATTATAAATAAATAAATAAATAAAATAAACAAAAATCTAAATATCAAATTCATAGTAACATGTCCAATATTCACTTAATATTCAATTTAATGCTAGTTAAGAAAAGATTGTGTCTAAAAATTTGTTACATAAATTGAAAAGTTCTAATTTGAAAAAGAATAGTGAAATTATATTTTTAAGTTTTTAATATTAAAATTTGAAATTAAAATGAGTTATGATTTATAAATATTAAAATTATTAAGATTTGATTTCACTAACCTTTTTCGCATATGTTAATTAATTACAAATTATGTTTATAATCTTTGTTAATTTAATGATCATGAAATATATTTTAAACTTAATTCTTTAAGTGAGAAATTCTAAATCTTTTAATTAAAAACTCAATTATTTTATGAAAAAAGTTAATCAAATAATTTGCATTAAAACTAGAGGTCAATTAATGAACCTCCCATTATCTCCAATAATAAGATTTTTTTTTTCAATTCATGATTTTAAAAGTGTTTCTCAATAACATTCAATTATATGAGTTCATATTCAATGTGATCATGTCAAAATAAACATTAAAGAGGGGAGAAAAAATAATTAACTGGATTAAAATCTTAATATACAATTAAAAAAAAGTATAGGGAATTAGGTCAGTTATGTCAATTTACATCACAAGTGAATTAGTAGCTCATAATTAGTATAAGAGAAAAACTAGTTTTGGAATGTGTCCATAATAATGAGTACTTACTCCTTTTTTTTCTTTTAGAAAATGCAAGTCTCTATAAAATGAATGTCTAGTTTATTTTCTTATGTGAAACGCCCGATTTATAAATCATAGTATTATATATATATATTGAAAATAAAAATATATTATTAATAATATTATACGTGATAACAATGAAATATTTTTACAGATAATATTTGTAATAGTGTACTATTTTACACATTATTTCTTTCTTCTACTTCTATTACAATATTTACATTGATAGTGGAAATAAATTTACAATTGAAATAAAATAGATTCATCAAACAATCTCTATATTCCAATTCCTTCCAAGGAAAACAATAGCAATAACCACTGCAAAATAATTTGGAATCCTAAGTAGATCCATCTATTTTGTAATATATTTAATTTAAAAAAAATAAAGAAAAACAAGGAGTAAAAACAATATCCAATAAATACAATAATTCAAAAGAATGTACAGAATTATTTATAATCAATATTAAACACACACACACACATATATATATATATATATATATATATATATAAATATATATACATATCATATATTAGATTTTCATGTTACAAGAAAATTTGAATTATACTTGTAGTGACTAGTTAGGATAAATGAGCATCATCATAATACCAACCAACAAAAGGAAATTTCACCTTAACCAATAATAAGATATTTCACCTTCATTTCTTACTTATTTAAATCCCCAAGATCAAACCTCCAGCTACAAATAATTCAAACTTTATCTTCCATGGCCATAGAATAATATTTATCTTCATCAATACACGAAGAAATAACAAAAGATATCAAAACTATATTATAGTTGATTATAAAATATATTTACATTAAATAAATTCAAATAATATTTACATAAAAAGAGTATATTAAAAGTCTCAATCATATAAATGACAATGACAATCATTATAAAATAATTAAACAATATAAAATATGAACACATTAATAATTATTATGGATAAAAATAATCATAGGTTAAACAAATAAATGAGGTTAGGGACACCTCACTAAATAAATATATATAAAATATAACATAAATAAATAAACATAGTAGTGTATAAAATTTTAAAGAGATAAAGTTTTACTCCTTCTTACCTCAGAACATCGACTTATTTATCAAAAATCTTCAAGATCCTCTTCCTACTCACTTTTTCTCTATTTCCCTCTTTCTCTCTCTCTCTCTCTCTTTCTCTTTCTCTTTTTCAACTCCGTTATAATTTTTCACAGCCCTCACTCCTATTTATAAAAGTTTGGAGTGGTCAGAACGGCCCGTTCTGGACCAATTTGTTATCTGTAATATTTATAACTAGAACGGTCGTTCTTAAGACCGGAACGGCCCGTTCTGAGGTTGGATTTTACTCATGACGATCATAATTGAAACGGCCCGTTTCCAACTAAGGTCTTTAGGCATTTTTTATAATTCAAAATGGCCCGTTTCAGTTTGAGAACGGCCCGTTCTAGGACAACAAAAATAGGTTATTTTCATAATTTGGAACGGCCCATTCCACTTTTTGGAACGACCTGTTCTAAGTCTTTAAAAAAATAATAAAATAAATAAATAAATAATATTTATTATTTAAATATAAAACCCATTTAATAATCTTTATAAATATAAAATAAATGATAATTAACTATTGTATTAGTAAAATTTTAGGACGTTACATTATGTCTTTTATATGTCTTCTAATTTTAGGTAAATAGATCACGCTTAAGCGAGTTTTCAAAGAACATTATAGATATTATTTGTCTTGTCTTACTTAAACAAGTCTTCATGTCTAAAATTAAGGTGTTTTCTATTATGTTTTGCTTAAACAATCAAAAAATAGTTTGCTTAAGCAAGCCTTCAGTACCTAAGAAGGTTTGTTCTTAGCCAATTATAGCTTAAGTGAGTCTTCTCCTCTAAACAGTTTAACTTTGACACTTGATTTCTCCATCTCTTCTTCAATACTTCAACTTTTCATTTATTATAACTTTGCAAGAAAAATAAATCTTAACAAACCAAAACATCTAATTTTCAATTTATTTACTTCTAATTATCAATTACTTAAGTAAAAAAAATGAAACTTGTTAAATGCTCAAACTAAAAACCATGAAAGAAACAACAAACATATTTACTAACATAGTTGTCTGAATCTAGGTTGGAGGAGTATCAGGAACTTAAACACCCTCTACCTCAAACCCCATTATACTAACGCATCAGTCACTTTAATTTTCTCTCTAAAGACATGCTTACAACTTACAAGCCAAACATGTTATGCCATGCTACAACTTCATTTCAAAGGAATACCAAATATGATTTCTATTGCACCATTGGTTCAAGAACTAAATGGCAATGGTTGAATCCAACTCCAAATAAACCTCTCCAAGTTTACCCTTATCCTTAACTAGCTTAATCTCATAATAGAAGACTCACAACTCAACTTGCACCATCAAACACACTCCAATCTTATAGAATGAACCACAACAAATAACTATTATGATTGCAAATAACACGCCCTCCTCTAAAACATAAGATATGCTTAATAATCACTTAATATGTATCTAAAATATCAATGCAATTATCAATGGTGACAATGATGGTGGTAGGTGGAAACTATTTTGGCATGATGATAGTGATGGTGGTAAGAACTTTTAACTCAATAGTTGAATCATTGAAATTTAATATTATATATATATAAGGAAGAATTTACTTACTCAAATAGTAAGTTTTGGTTAAAGATAAGTATATGGACCAAAATCTACAGGCCGCCCACAAAGTGTTCGACTCAAACGGTTAATAGACCTATTTTAAAAAAATTCACATAATTATAAAAGAAATTAAGTCTAGTCCACAAAGTTCAGGGATTTTACGAACTTAATTTGTGAACCCAATGGAGCCGCCATGTAATAGAATTAAATTTTTTTTCCTAACTTCATGAGAGTTTTTAAATAATGAGTGATTTTAGTATTTTATTGATAATTAAATATAAGTAATAAGTATTGAATTTTGTATACTTTATATTTGAAATATACTACATTTTTGTTACCTTAATATGTTTTGGATTTTTTATGTGTAAATATGTTTTAGATTAAATGTAGAAGTTTGATATGTTAATATTTTAATGTTTTAATTTAAATGTGTAAACCTTTGTATATTGAGACTTTCATTTGTTTTAAAGATTTTTTGACATTTATATTTTTATATAATATTTTTTTTCTTTGTATTTCTCCCTTGTATAAAAAAAGGGAAGAAATTTATTTCATTGAACTTGCGGGTGTTCACATGACGGATATGGGCCATGGTAAAAAAGATCATTTATTTCATGGATTGGGCTTATCCAATCGGTTAAAAATGTGGGTTTCATGGGCTGGATCTTAAACGAGCCGAGCTAGCCTGTATATCTACCCTTAGTCTTGTTAGAGTTATTTCACTCAATAATTCATCTTCTACATTGAATTTCAATGATTCAACTATTGAACTAAAGTTTTAAATGCATATATCAAATTTGTAAATTTTTTAAAAAAATTGAAAACTATTTAATACTTTACTTCATTAATTCAAATTGACAGATAATAAATAAAAAATTATACATCAATTTAAATTTATATAATAAAATATCAAATAATTTTTAAAATTTTAAAAAATTTATAAATTTAATTTATATAATAAAAACTTTTAATTTAATGACTAAATTATTAAAATTTGATATAAAATATAAATTATTAAGTAAAATACTTTTTTATTTTTTCGGTAATTGAATTCCTCCTTTAGATTTTTCGTTGGATATCGGTCCAATTTTCATTATTAACTAGAATCCAATTCATATGGCATCTATCTACATCAAGTTAATATAGTCATTTGAAAGTAATCTATTTCATGTGTGTAAATAGCATGGTGTAATGGTTTACTTATTGAAATACCATCATTAAGTATGAGGTTTAAGACACGACATCCGAATCCAAACCAACAACAGCAATCCATTTTATAATTTGCACCTTCTTCATGTCACTAGGATCGTAAACAAAAAAGATGTGATATGTTTGACAACAAATAAGTAGTCTAACATTATAGCATGATATAATAAAAATTGTTGTAAACTACAAATAAATAGTCTAACAACAAATAACATTATAGCATGCTAGATAAAACAATTACCTCGAGAAAGAGATGCCAAAATAAAGAAGGGAGGGGGAACGAGGAAGACAGCTGATAGTGAGAAAACAAAATGTGGAAAGAAAAAAAAATATGAACAAAGCGATATTTTTTATTCATTTGAATGTGAGCAGAAATAAAGAGGAAAGTGGTCCAAAAGTAATAAGAAGAAAAAATTTGTTGAAAATTTGGATTTATTCATTTATTTACTTATTTATTAGTAGAGAAAAAATCACGCCTATGTGCAAAAATAAAATAAATTAGTGTTTTAAACAAATAGGTAATTATTATTTTTAATTAAAATAATAAAAAAATTTATATATTTTTTACTATTTTTTTCTTAAATATAAATTAATAAGAAAACATAAAACACAATTTAAAAGAATAATTGTCATTGAAAAAATAAATATCATAAGGGAGTATCTCTTTATATATTATTATAAGTTATATTAATGAATATTATCAAAATTAGATTCATTATTGATTCAATTATAATAAAAAAATATTATAAAATAATAAATATTTTTTAATTTTCCTCTTTACTTTGCTTTCCTTTTTAATAATAAAAAAGACACTGATAAACACAAAATTGATCAAGAGTGAAGCAACAATGGTTTAGACTAAATTTATCTTATTTTGACTTAACCTAAAATTCACTGGACTATCAAAACTTGAAATATAAAAAATAAAGATAGAATTATATCAACTTAATATTTTATTATGATAATATATTAATATTAACATCATGTATAATTAAATTATAGAATCCGGTGATATAATTAATTAAGTCTTTTTACTTTTATTAACTAGGACTTGGACATACATTGAATCTGACTTTTGTTATATTTTATATTTTTTTTATGAGGACTTGTATCGAAGATAAAATAGATAATTCATAATTTTACCAGAAATTTTTAAAAAAATTGGTAATTGATTTTAATTTTGTATAAAATTGTACTTTATCTTAATTTAAACTTCTTGTTATAAAAAATATAAATTATAGAAAAAAATGATATAAGAATTATTTTAAGATAGATTTTAAAAGATATATTTTAAAACAAATAATATAATGTTTTATAAAAACATAATCTATTAAATAAAATGATTTTATTATTAATTCATAATTGTTAAAAGAATTATATACATTAAATTAGATGGGGTTTGAAAAGCAGGCCTGAGGCGGAGCTTGAACAAAGAAAGAAGTAAAGTGTTGTATGACTGCCGTGGGTTGCGCCAGATGGCACGTGCGAGAGAGAAGCGTGTAAAGAGAAAAGCCGAAAGCGTGAGAACCGGCGTCACTTTGTTTTTGGAATAATGATTAATGATTAATGTTTAATGAATTTGGTTTGGTTACAAGAAAGAGAGAGAGATTTGAGGATCTGGAATCTGCTGCCTCTTCCTTCCTTCACCTTCTCCTTGTGTTGCGTCCATTTCTTTAATCACAGCCACCCATCATTTTTTTTTTATAATTATTTTTAATTTAATGAATGAAAACACCGCCATCGCTCTTATCTCTCACCATTGACTCAGCCGTCCTTAATCTCTCCGACATCTCCGATCTCTCCCATATCCCTGATCACATCCTCCGAGACCTCTTCCTGGTACTTATTCAATTCTTATTACAATTCTCTCTCTCTCTCTCTCTCTCTTTCTCTTTCTCTCCTACATCCTACTCCTATTCCTACTTTCTGCTCAACCAAGGTTGCACTTCCACTTCCACATCCATGTCCTTTATTCCCTTATTGACTTTGCTTGATTGATTGCGACGTCCCCTTTTGCTTTTTTTCATGTATTTTCTCTAGATCTCCTGTAAAAATCAATTCTTGCTCCTAGCTATTGAATGGGTCAAGGGAGGTTATGTAATGTACATGCAAGCTCTTTTGCCTTTCGGTTCTTGTGATTTTTTTTGAAAGAAAAACTTGGATGTCGTGTTCTCCGATCAGAATTTTGGTTTTGTTTCGTCTAACCTATGTGGGTGTTTGATACGAAGTACGGATTTTTATCATGGGGATTACTGAGATGAAATGTGGATTCTGATTACAGAATAGTTTTAAAAGTGCCTAAGGAACTGCATGTACTTTTTGAAAACCCCAAGGACTCTGATTATGAAACAAATCTCGTTTTTTACCTATGGGGTTGTTTAATACAAAACCTTTATTACATGAAATTTCAATTCTGGAGGTGAAATTTTAATTTTGATTAGAGAGTGGTACCAAGTGCACATTAGGAATTGAATCTAGGTTTTGTACATTTTGAAAACTCCAAGGATTTGTGTTAAGCAAATTATGGAACAAATCTCATTTCTTACTGCTGTATGATTGCATTGATGGTTATGTTTTCTTATTGTTTTGTTTTTTGGGGGTGGGAAGTTGGGTATTTCCTAGAGTCAGATTTTCCTTTACTTTATGCCTTTTTCTTTGGGATATCAAAATTTGTAATTTGTTTTTCCCCGTTGCTGTAAACGTGGGTTTGGTTCTTAACTGGGTCGAAAATGCGAGGCTTTTTTACTAGTTTTATGCTAATGTGGAATTTGGGACACATGTTTCATAATTGGGGAAGAAATGTCAAAAATTATGGATCTGGTTCCAATCTTTTTGTTGTCTATACAAGTGTATGAGTTATGTGGCTCTTTCATTCTACACTGAAGTTTTATTCTGTATCTATTGTTCGGCATCCTCATTACATTATGTGTTTTTCATGGACAGAGAATATTGAAAGCTGGAAAGCTCACTGAGAAAGTTCTGAGATTGTTTATAGCAACTGGTAAGGATGAAGTTCTCTCACTTGTTCAGGCACTCAATATCCAACATATTTTGACCCCTGTGCTTCCCACCAGTGAGTTATTTTATGGTTTTATGTAATGCTTATAGTAGCTATTCCTGTGGTGACCAATGTTTCTTTTCTGAAATTTAAATTTCTATATACAGGGTGTTGTGAGAAATTCTAAAACAAGGTTAAGCTATTATCTGTATTCTACCTTGCAAGATGTCTCAAGCAATTATCAACGATAACGAAGTGGACATTGTGATTGGTGCACTGCGCTCTGACCTCACCTCTTTTATGAATGAATGGAAGCCAATATTCTCCCGTTTTCACCTGATAATAGTAAAAGATCCTGACCTCAAGGAGGATCTCCAAATTCCTGGAGGATTCAGGGCAGATGTGTATACGAATTCTGATATCGAGCGAGTGGTCGGTTCTTCCACTTCTGTCCGCTTCTCTGGCTACTCTTGTAGATATTTTGGCTTCCTAGTTTCAAAGAAAAAGTATGTTGTCTGTATTGATGATGATTGTGTTCCCGCAAAAGATAATTCAGGCAATTTGGTGGATGCTGTGGCTCAGCATGTTTTCAACCTCCAGACTCCTGCCACTCCTTTCTTCTTTAATACTTTATATGATCCATTCCGTAAGGGTGCAGATTTTGTTCGCGGGTACCCATTTAGCTTGCGAAGTGGAGTTGATTGTGTTCTGTCATGTGGGTTGTGGCTCAATCTGGCTGACCTTGATGCTCCAACGCAAGCTCTCAAGCCAGGACAGAGGAATATGCGATATGTGGATGCAGTTCTGACTGTTCCTGCAAGAGCCATGGTGCCCGTGAGTGGAATCAACATTGCCTTTAACCGTGAAGCTGTTGGCCCGGCATTAGTCCCGGCTCTGAGGCTGGCAGGGGAAGGAAAATTGAGATGGGAAACTGTGGAAGATATATGGTGTGGAATGTGTGTGAAAGTCATATGTGACCATCTAGGCTTTGGTGTGAAAAGTGGGTTACCCTATGTTTGGAGGACAGAAAGAGGTGATGCCGTAGAGAGCTTGAAGAAAGAGTGGGAAGGGGTAAAATTGATGGAGGATGTTGTTCCTTTCTTTCAGTCATTGAGGTTGTCACAATCAGCCACTACACCAGAGGGTTGTGTGGTGGAGATGGCCAAAACAGTGAAGGAGCAACTGGGGAAGATTGATCCTATGTTTTCTCAGGCTGCTGAAGCCATGGAAGAGTGGGTCAAGCTCTGGAAGGCTGTTCGATCTGGTTGAAGCTCCCTGAACTCGAGGACTCTCGTAGGGGTGAAGGTTATTGCCTTATTGGCTTCTATATTTCTTTTATTTTATTAAACTAATTTATATCCACTTTTTTTTACAGTTTGTAGTGAACTAAGCTTACATTTTACCTGACACAGTTAGACTGAAGGTTGAATAAAATGATGAGATAGTACTTATTGGCTTTGTGACAATTGAATAAATGCTTTGTCTTGCTTTATCGATTGGTCTTTAAACAGAATTCTGAGTCTGCTATTTTTCTTTGTTGCTATACAACCTCTCTAAAAAGAGAAAATAAATGTTTTGATGTTTACTAACAGATTTGATCCCAAGTGACAAGGAAACAATTTTTAGAACATGATTCGAATTGCTTTTCTAACCAATGTAATATTTGGAGACCAGTAGCTTGATTCTCATTTTTCTCTATTGTGTCATTCTTAAATTTGGGTTTAGGCCTTATTAAATTCCAAAAGTCATGCTCATGAAGTAGAATTGCTTTCTTCTTATATATATTATGTTATTAGTCATACTATTAGTCAATACTGGTTGGTCTGATTGGCTTAAACAACTATCGGGATGGTTTTGAATTCTGAAACCCTTTTAGAATTTGAGTTTGCCGATTTTATCTATAGATAATGTGAAATTTTCAACAATTATTATTACTTCCTCTGACTCATAATAATCATGTTGTCCTTGTTTTTGTTTACATAGACCAAGAAAAATTAGTAAATAGATAAGAATAGTAATTTTACAAAAGTAGTCTCGTTATTAATCTTTTTTTTAGTTGGTGATGACATAAAAGTTTGAATCTTTATATTTCTTTTCTTGTTTTGGCTTATTTGATATTACTTTTCTTCTTATATAGAAAAATAATTAATTTAATCGACAATAATAAAATTGTCTTATATATATATATATATATGCGT